AGTTGTGTAGGGTGTAGGGTCACAGTTCAGTAGGGTGTAGGGTGTAGGGTGGCCGAGCCCCGGGGTCCGGGTGGGCAGCATCCCCGCACAGCGCTGCTGGCCAGGGCCAAGGGCCAAGGCTGAGCAGGGCTGCGGGCCCCTCCAGGCACAGAGCCTTGGCTCCCACCACCGCAATCTTCCCTCAGCTCCTCCTGGCCGAGCCGGGCTCCTAAAGGGATGAATCCCAGCTGATTTCTCCCTTGCARGGGCCAGGGCGGTTAAGCACGTGGGTCTGGTTAAACACACAGGCATGGTAGAACATGTGGGTCTGGTTAAACACGCGGGTCTGGTTAAAACACGTGGTCTGGTAAAACACACRGGTCTGGTTAAACACATGGGTCCGGTGCAGGGTTTTGGTGGCGCGCAGCTCACCCGGCTCCCCTCATCCCGCCACAGCCTCATGCCGAGCCCTCCTCCATGGCTCCTGCCCTCAAAGGTTTCGCTCGTTAGTGTTAGATATCGGGAGAGCAACCAGCTCCGGGCTGCGGGGCAACGCGGAGAACCTCCGCCCACCTTCCTGCACACCGTCCGCTGGGCTCGAGGCCATGTCGGGGCGCCGGCCCTCCCAACCCAGGAGCCTGGCAGCGATTTTGAGGCCATCTTGAGAAGCCTCCCTCGGGCTGTGGGCGGTTTGGGGGAGTCCCACCAGAACTGGCCCCCAGGCTGATGCTGCTACCCCACCACTCGCCAGGAGGAAGGACGGGGGCTCCTGAAGGCCACTGGCGCCCTGGGGACGGGCGCAGGGGCAGCAGAGGGGCCCCTCGGCTCCGCCAGGCCCCTAACGTGGCAGCGCTGCTGCTTCCTCCTCTTCCTCTGCTCCCTCCTCCGCTTTCCCCAAGGCGGGAGCCGCGGCAGCGCCGCCCAGCACCCCGTTCCTGCAGCGCCCAAGGGCCRCCTCGGGGCGCGACGAGACCTTCACACCCACAGGGAATCATTTTAACAAAAATAAATTAAAAAAAATTAAAGGAGGAGGAGCACCATAGCCTGAAAACGTAGCAATTACTAGTGCTTTTAGGGCATTACTTATTAGCCTACATGCTATATATTTACGCATCCGGCGATGCTAGGCTTTATTTATTTATCTATTAATTTATTTATTTAGCTTTATTTATTTATTTGCGTATTCGGTGACGTAACGGCCCGAGGGCTCCATGAGGCGGGAGGGGGAGTAGAGCCCGACCGCGCCTGCGCGAGCCCCGCCCCCTCTCCCCGCTCCTCCCGCCCTCCGCCTCCCATTGGCCGGCGCCGGRGAGGCCGCCAGCCAATGGCGCGGCGGGAGGGCGGCGGAGCGGCGCAAGATGGAGGAGTACGCGCGGGAGCCGTGGTGAGCGGGGCCGSGCCGGGCCGGGCCGGGGCACCGAGCGCGGCGGCCGTTGGGTTGGGCGGCACCGTGAGCGGGGAGAGGGGCGGAGCGCGCGGCCGGTGGCTCCGGAGCGCGGGCGGCCGGTGACCTTGGCGCGGCCATGGCCGCCGGTGGGGGGGGGCGGGGAGAAGCGTCTTCCTGTCGCGGGGCCCGCTCGGGCCGCCGGCACCGGGAGCGGCGGGAGGGCCGCGCGGCCCGCCCCGGCCTCTGTGACCGCCGATACCCCCCCTGCCACCGGGCCGAGCTTGAGGCTCCTCTGCAGCCCCCGGTTGCCTTTCGGGGGTCTGCGGTGCCCCGCATACCAATAAAACCTGCTGAAAGTTGTGTTTTAAATTTACTTATTTATTGTATTTTTCTTCTTCTCTCCTTGATAAGATGGTGAAGGGGTGACTTGGGGACCCCCCGACTGTGCTGTGTCCCTGTYGCTGCCCCTTGTCCCCCCTGCCCCCAGCGCCCCGGTTTTGGGGACACCCCCTGTGTGTGGGGTCACCTCCTAGGACCAGGTCGCCTCCGAAAAGCGGAGCCGAAACCGCCTTTTCTCACCCTCCAGCTCTGCCCATGCCCTTTGCAGGCCCCCAGAACTGGGGCAGGATCTTCCCCYGGAATCCAAAGGAACTTGGGGATGAAATGGCTGTGGTGGCATCAAAAAGAGTTTCTTAAAAGCTGTTTCCCTAAGAAACTTGGGGAATGGTTAAAAGCACCCCTCCTCCCCCCGATGCTTTGTATCTGAAATCAAGTTAAAACAGAGGGGGAAAAATAAGGAAATCGTTTAATGACATCTTGTTAGCGAAGCCTCTGTGAAAAAAGTCCTGTTGGGCAAAACTGCYGTTGTGTGACCTTGTGGGAGGTGGCTGCACGTAACGTGTTTATGTTTTCGGGAAGCCTTTTAACGGGATCTTTMCTAATAAGCTAACGGAGCAAGGCAGTTGTGGTGAGATGTTTTATTCCTAACGGAGCCCGTCCAAACCTGGATTCCCTGGATAGGGAATGTGGAGCTCCGGCACCTCCTGCTCCGGTAGCTCTCTTCTTCTTGGCGTTGCGGACAACAGTGTAAAGTTCTGTGCTTGTCACCTTTTGCTCATCATTAACACATACAAAACAGGAGAATTTGTGCAAAGACAATASAGAACAGAGCTTTTCTAAAAAATATTCATTTTAATACTTGAAGCCCCTGCAGTGTCCGAGAGACTCGGAAATAGCTCCTGAAAATAAGTGAAGAACCTGGGGGAATAGGTGGAGGGATTGAAACTTTTGCAAGTCTTTTYTCTTGCGTGAGAATTCCAAGTAATTTTTTCCCTCTGTTTGATGCTTCCCTTCCAGGGAGCCAAGTTGTTAGACTCTTGGTGCAAGACTAGATTGTTTTGCCCCAACATTTGTGTTTCCTTGATGTCTCTTCACCAAGCTGGATGCGAGAACCTGCAGCCGGCATTTTGGGGTTTTCACTCCACTTTTGGATACTACAACATAAATTTGGGTGGTGCTTTTCCAGCTGGGATACGTCGGAGGCGAGAACGGTGGATCTATTACAGTTACTTGCAATTTTAACATGGATTTTAGCATTTTAAGTTTTTTTTTCCCTTTTTTACAGTCCCTGGAGGATAGTCGATGACTGTGGGGGTGCTTTCACAATGGGAGCCATAGGAGGTGGCATCTTCCAAGCTATCAAGGGCTTCAGAAATTCCCCCGTGGTGAGTAGAACAGCTTGACGAGTGCAGTCCCGGTAGTTTTTTACCCTCAATGGCAAAAATGGAAAGAARAAAAATGAAGATGAAAAAGAAGAAATCCTTGCACATTGAGTGGGAATAATTAATGATATGCATGCYGTTAATTGAAACCGGGAGCTGAAAGCTGTGGCATAATTCTGTGGGGTCTTGGCTGGGCTCTAGCTGGCTGGCAACAGCGGCTAAACGTGGGCCAGCCGCTGAGGTTGGGTGTCTACAGCGCGAGGCAGCGACTGTAGCCGTCTGGATTAGGTCTGAAAGCCAAGTTGCCTCCTGCCTGTGGATTTATGGACGTGGCAGTTGCTAAAGAAAGCCATTTAATCCACAAACCCGCCTCCTGGCTGTTTCTAGCGTAGAGAAGAAAAGGCATTTCCCATTCATCTGCCCTGTTTTCAGAAGGCACGTGGGGAAAACAGGCCCAATCTGTTTCACGTGTGTTTGAGGATGTTGAGGAGCTCAGAAAYGCCTGCCCTGCGGCTGTTCCGGCTCCATCCAGGTTGTGCCTGCAGAATTTCACTCCGTTTCATTCTAACTTCTCTCTGGTTTGTTGTAGGGTGTGAACCACCGGCTGCGGGGAAGTTTGACAGCTATTAGAACGCGAGCTCCCCAGCTGGGAGGTGGGTGTAATTTTGCATTTTTGTTACACCTGCCTTTTCGCTGGCTCTTCTAGGTGACCCAGGGCCGGAATATAACAGGGTGGGAGCATGGAAGCTCCTGGCTCTCCTGCCAGGCAAATGGAATTATTAGAAAAGAAGATAATGGGTGGTGGCTGTGCAGAGAGGAACGCACAGTTCCTCTCTGTATCTCTATTTTTCTCTGTATAGATTTTATTTTTTAATCCCATGTTTTGGTTCAGAGTTTAAATGCACTTTCATACCTGAAAGCAAGTGTGTAACACTGCACCATCCCTCTGTGATCAGGCTCCAGGAAASCACTGGCTGCCTCGTCTGCTTGCYCTAAATCACATTTTTTTTCCCCCAATCTCCCCCTACCAGGTAGCTTTGCTGTCTGGGGAGGACTCTTCTCCATGATCGACTGCAGCATGGTGAGGATGAGAGGGAAAGAAGACCCGTGGAATTCCATCACGAGCGGAGCCCTAACCGGAGCCATATTAGCCGCAAGAAGTAAGAAACGAAGCTCTGGGGAGCTAGGAATAATAATGAAAAAAAGTTCCATATTCTGAACGYGCAGTTTTTATCATTAGAGCGAAGCAAAAGCAGATGATATCCAGGCTGGAATTTCCTTTTAAGCACAACAGAATGAAAAATAATCTTAAACCTTTGTCCCTGCTTAAGAAAGTGATGATTACACTCAAATGTTACCTGTGTTCTTTTTCTCCCCTTGGGGAAGTGGGGGGGTGCCTGGTAATTATCCTTTTATTGTGGTGTTAATGAGGCTTAAGGATGCAGGATTGCTGCTTCTGAGTCTGCTGGTGGGAGAGAGGAGCTATAAAGAGAACTACAATATGCCAAGTAATGCAGGAAAAAAAAAGGATGTGATTTGTACTTTTTATTTTTAGATGGACCTGTTGCCATGGTTGGATCTGCTGCCATGGGAGGAATTCTCCTAGCTTTAATCGAAGGAGCTGGTATTCTGCTAACAAGATTTGCATCCACACAGTTCCCAAATGGTAAGGAACCCTCAGACGATGCTGTTGCAAGGCAATAATAACAAGGCAACTTGAACACATGCACACTGAAAAAGAGCCTTTTCTCAGGAAGCAAAGTAAGCAAACCTCCTGTTTGTGAAACCTCAGCTCCTCTGGGATCTTGTTCCATTTACCTTTAGAATCCAGTTTCCAGGTCAATGTACAGTTGAGTTATTAAAAAAAAAAGCTAAGTAAGAGGTGTGGATTTACCTGCTGTCCACTTCCTTCTATCATTCCAACCTCTTTCTTTTTCTACTCCTGCATTTAACACACATTTTTTAAACACTCAATCTCCCAGACAGATAAGGTGGTGGCAGCTCCACCACAAAGTACATGCTTGTGCCTTGTGAGTAATTTTCTGCTCTCTGTTTCAGCTTTTCCCCTCAAATAAAAACGATGCTGACGAACTGGGAGCTCAGCCGTCTCTGGCCCCACGCGCTGCTACCACTGCTGTGGAATGAGCCCTTTTCCCTGTCCCCTCGTACATCCCCACAACCCTGGCACCCGGGGACACGTGTTTTAGTTCAGCAGCTGCATAGTGGGCTCAAAGGAGCAGCAGGTTGTGGGCAAGACAGGTTGTTGGAGCTCTGCACCTACGTGTGCCTGGACCCTGGTTTCAATGGGGGGTCAGCAGGCAGAGACAGCCCTTCAGAGGGGGATAGGCATCATGGTGATGGTGTTTTTATTTATTAAACCATTACAAAGCTGATAAACCATTTTTTAAAGCCATTACAAATTGCACTATTTTTAARTAAAATRGTAAATAGTAAAATAGTAAAATAAAACTTCCCTAAATACTTGCCAAAGCCAAATACCGAATACTGGCAGGTGTCCCTCCAGCCCAAGGGCAAGGAGGTGGCATTTCCAAACCAGATCATATAGTTACCTTTCCGAAACGAGCCATAAACATTCTGCTGAGGGGCTTTCYGTGGGTCTTAACTAATATTTGCGTGTTAAGAGTGAGTGGAGGAGTGAGTTTTCCCAGGTCAGGGCGCTGGGAAGTCCTGTGCTCTGCCTTGAGGGTTGTTTTACAGTGGGGCGTGTGCGTTTTGTGTGTTTTCCTCTAATGAGATGGCAACCCCTATTTTCCAGAGTGCAGAGAGGGAAATAGAAAGTGTGACAGCTCAGGATAGCACAAACCAGAGTAGCAGCCCTGCCTCGGTTGCTCCACCGTGTTTTGGAAGGAATAGAGACCCCAAGTAGTGTCAAAAGGAGCAGTACTAAGCCGCTAAATCCCGCGAGGCTCCTCCTTTCAGGTTTGCTACCCATTTGTGCGGTCTAAACTCTTCTCATTTCTTACCTTAATACCAGAACAGTTTCAAGTTGCCYGCTTTGGGGCAAGGGGATCACCTGAAGGTGACAGTTGCGTCTCCCTCGCATTCTGGGGGGCCCGTTACAAGGTGCCCAAGTTCACCTGAAGGGCAGTAAGGCCGAGGTTTCCAGCTCCTGTTGGTGACTGCAAATCCTTCCTGTGCTGTCCCATTTCCCTATATATAACAGAGGGAAAGTGTTCCCTCTTGGAGTGAGACTGTTGCTGCCCAAAGCTCCTGGAAATCTGCTGGATGATAATAGTCAAAAGTGAAGTCTGGTTATTGGCTTCATCTATTTTAGAAGGGATTTTTACATATAAAGAAAATCCTGTGTACGTGTATTATGCTTTTTAGTCTGAAGAATCTTTTGTCCGTTTGTATTTATTCTGTATTTATTTGTATTTGTTCCCTATTTATTTGTATTTATTCTGCATTTATCGATGTTCTGCTGCTTTTTTCACAGGCCCTCAGTTTTCAGAAGACCCTTCCCAGCTGCAGCCCTCTCCATTTGGCGACTACAGGCAGTACCAGTGACTGGGCTCCTCCTGCTCGTTCCTCTTGCTCCGGGAGCTGCCACTGCACTTGCTGGAGCACCGGGGTGCGGTAGGTGGCAACACCAGTGGCAGCCCCTTATACAGACCATGCCAAGAGGATCTTCAGCACCTCCCCGTGTAACGGAGAACTTTGAGAAGAGGATTGAGATATTTATTCCTAATAGATCCCATTGCTGTAATGTTCATACGTGTCTGGTAGAATACATGGCGATTTCAGACAAGGCCCCCGGGGAGTCTTGTAATCCTTGGGACTGGACGGAAAGGAATTTTCTTTGTTGTTTTCTCCGACACGCGGCGTTAAGGAGCAGCGCTGAATTGAGCTGCTTCCCTGGCAGGTCAGGGTTCAGCAGAGGCTTCAACTTGAGGCAGGGGCCACCTCTCCACAGAGCCCTGCTTTCCACCCAAGGCGAATGTTACCCGGAGCAAACACCAGCCTGGGAACGTTACTTCCAGCAGTAGCTTTTTCACCTTTTTCRTTGCTTTCTGCCTTATTGCCCTGCAAAGGAAGCTGTGGAGCTAAAGCAGAACCTGGAGCTGCCCGGGCTGCAACGTGCCGGCCTTCCTGCAAGGTGCCCCCGAGCCCCTTTGGTTGAGGGGTGCCCGCCGGGCCGTCCGGCTGCGGAGCTTTGGCTGCGGCTCCCGTGCTGCTCCCAAGGGAGCAGTGCAGAGAACATCCCCTAAAGGAGGAAGAGGAGAAAGGAGAGGAGAAAGTAACGTCGCTCTCGCTGCCAGGTCTTGGCAGAACGTTCCTAGCCCCGCGCTGCTGTTGCGATGCCTCTGCGCCGCTCCAGGGCTTTCCTGCTGCCCAGGAAGGGGGTCAGTGGCGTTTGCTCTGTGAAGGAGCCCCCCGTGACAGGGGCAGTGGGGGGAGAGGAGGGAGGCGGCGCAGCAGGGCTCGCTGTAGGGCTGGTAGAGGGGCACGGAGGAGCGGGTGGCACCCGCACCCAACAGCSAGAGCCCCAGGGCAGCTCCGAGTCCCGGCCCTCCACCCGCTTCCATCACCCCGGCCATCCCGCACCCCTCCGGCAGAGCCTCCGCTCTGCTCTTCAGCTTAGGCACTGAGGGGTTGAATTTTCAAAATTCTTTAGCAAAAAAACAAACAAAAAAAGAAACACCCCCCCCGCCATCCCCCATGTATGTGGGTATTTGTGCAGCCATAGAGCCACACGTGGTGCTCAGTTCCTCGGGTGAAGCCTGAAGGAGATTTGGGGACTTTATGTCCCTCATGGTCTGAGGTGGGTTCCCGGCCATGAGAGGAGGGGACCAGTCCTGGCTCTTCAAGCGTGAATTATTCTCTCCTCAGTGGTACCTCCCCTTTCTCTCCAAATCTGCGTGTTAATCCCATGATTTTTCTCTGTACGTGGGCTCAGAGCCTTCCAGTGCTGCTGAAATCCCCGGGTGCAGGAACAGGGCCRTTCTACCCGGCTGCGTCTTGCACCTCCGACCTGGCCGGGGGGGCAGTCGCTGGGGAAGGGAAACGTGACTCAAGGGGAGCCCTTTCTGGCTCTTGTCCCCTGCCTGTGCAGGACAGGGGCAAGCTGAGCCCTCCACAGCCACCCCCCGCCCCAGAGCCCCCAAAGAAACGAGACGGAGGCGGCCGGCACGACAATGACTATTGACCTGTTTATTTCAATCGGCTACAGCAGCTCTACGTTCTCCTAAAACACCGTCCTTCCTTCACTACCCCGAACAGCGAGGGAGCCGAGTGCACTGCGCTGGCAGCAAGTCTTCTTAAAGCTTAGTATTAAATATTAAATATTCTCTCATTTACTGTTTACATTACTTTGTCAAGGAAAGGGGGAAAAAAAAGACGACAAATAAGACAATTGAAACTTAAGTTACAGGAATCTGTGCCCGTGCCCTGAGCAGCAGCGCCAGGGGCAGGCGCCGCTGCTGCAGAGGGATATGCAAAAGCTCCGGCCGCCGCTCGCCCCTGCGAGGGCAGGGGGTGCTCGGCTGTGCCAGGAGCAGGGGGCTCCCTTTCCTTGCGGGAACGGGGYGCCCGGCCCGAGCGGGTGACTCCGGTGCAGCTAAAACACAGGCTGGAGGCGGCGAGGCCAGAGCCTCCTCTCAGCCCCAGCAAAGTGCATGGGAAAGGGGGAGGATTTGGTCAACAGGAACTTCACTAAGAATTTTTCTGTTTCTTTTTCCTCTCTCTTTCATTTTTTGGAAAAAGGAAAAAAAAAACACCCCGAACAGTTTAGCGTCTTCCTTGGATTTTTTTTTTTGTTTTTTTTTTAGCAAAGACAAGAGTTTAAAAAGCACTTAGGAAGCTTGTACTAAAATCACCAGCTGTTCTCAGAGGAGAGAGTCGTCTGTGCACCCCCCTTCGAGTCCGTAACGGAATTCCTGCAAGTTGGAGACGCCGTAGAAGTGGACAAAGGCCGCGGCCACCACGAGCACGTGGAAGATCTGATGAGACTGGAACTGGGCGGGGAAAGCAAAGAGTTACTAAGAAATAGCCCTTGGAGGGGGTCCTGGCGGCAGGGCAGGGCGAAGGCCGCGCTCCCCGCGCTCCTGCACTCACCCAGATGTCAAACTTGCCCGGGAAGAAGCGCTCGGGGATGCGGGCGGCGTAGAGCCCCGCGCCCGTGATGTACATGACGGCCATGAGGAAGAACCAGCCCATCTGGCCCACCGTGGTGGCCTTCACGAAGCCCTCGGCGATGGTGAAGTGCATGGTGGGCACGACGCCGCTCAGCCCCAGCCCCAGGAAGACGCCTGCGGGCGCGGAGGGGTGAGCGCGGGCAGGGCYGGCCTGGCACCACGCATCCCATCCCATGGGAACCAGCCGCTGCTCCCCGCTCGGRCCCCGCTTCCCCGGCCTCCTCATCCTTCACGGGATTTTGGCTGCGCACGGAGGGATCTCAGCGCTCGGCGAAGCCGCTTCCCTCCACGCGGAGCCGCTGCGGAGGCTGCGGCCAGGGCACCTCGACCCCGCAGCCCCCAGGGAGGAAGGGTGGGCAGGGACCAGACATGGAGCAGGGCTCTGCTGCTCTCCGGCTGAGCTGCTTCCCGCAGGAGGCGGCTCCGTGCGGCACACGCTTCCCAGCCACCACTTAACGGGGCTATTTTTAACCTCTGCCTGCTCCAAGCCTCGGGAGCGCCGAGTGTCGGGGCCGTGCGGACAGCAGCAGGAGGAGGCGGAGGAGGCAGCAGTCTCCCGGTGCGCAGGGACCAATTCCCTCCGGTTCCTGGGGTCCCTGGGGGCAGCTCCCGGGCGCGGGGCTCTCCTACCTGCTCTCGTCTGCCTGTGCTTGGGGGTCGCAAACCGGTCCCACTGGGCGACGATGATGGCCGAGATGCCCAGGACGCAGACGATGGAGAGGTAGATGAGTCTTGGCTGCGGAGAGCAGTAGAACGAGTAGTAGAGCCACGGGACGAAGCTCCCCATGATCAGCAGTGCAATTCCTGAATAATCCAACCTGGGGGCAAAGGCAGAGTCGCAGCGGGGCCTGGAAACCCATCCCCGGCCGCTGTCCCCTTGGCTGGCACCYGGTGCCCTGTCTGTGCCCTAAAGGAGCCGTCGGGGTGAATGCAACTAAGAGCTGAAGCGGGGACCGGAGAGGGTGAAGGGGCCTGGGCCACTCTCACCCACGAGAGGGTGGGAGGAAGATCCCAGATCCGCTGGGGGAGACAAGTGGAGCTTGGCCGGAGCGCGAGGGGCGAACGGCAACTGCCGGATGTGCCGGGAGGGGCCGTGCTGGGAAGCGGCTGGCGGCAGCMCTGCACGTACGGGGCCAAGCGCTTCCGATTGCAGCCCGGGGCCGCTTTGCCACCGAGTCGCAGCCCCTTGTGCCACCCGGTGCCCGCCCCACTCGGGGCATCGCTGCCCTCCCCCTCTGGAAGCCGCGAGGGCTGCGCAAAGGGGCCTGCCCAGGTTCCCCCCCACTAAAGCCCTGGCGAGCCCCCCACGTGCCAGGGCACAGCCGGTGCCCCACGGCCGCGCCGCTGCTGCAGTGTCACGCCAGGAGCAGCCCCCGTGCTCACCAGGGACAGCGGCGCTGCCCAAACACGTCCCCCTCGCTGTGAACCCCACTGGGAACCCCACTTTGGTGTTGCCCAGTCGGGTGTTAAGCCAAACTGGGGCCAAACCAAAGGTTTTGAAACTCCCCTGGAAACTGGGAGCTTCCTGGTCCCTTTTTATCCTACAAATCTGAGGCCCTCCCATCTTGTTTCCCTGCCACGAGGRGCAGGGAGGCCTTGGGCCCCTTGGGAGCCGTAGGGGTGCCGTCCTCACGGACCTGCAGCCTCAGGGGGGCTTCTGAGTGAGCAGCCTCGAGATGTGCCCTGAATTCCATGCTGGATTTGCTCAGYTCTCCCTCCCGGGCCACGTGGGACCCACCAGCGCAGCATTTCCCAAGAGGAAACGCYGGGGGAAGCCCGGGCTGCCTCCCGGATCGCCCCCGGTTGCCGACTCACTTGGAAAACGTCCGCGAGACCTTCTCCGAGTGACAGTAGACGGTGTGGAAAAGCCAGGAGAAGCTGAGGCACAGCACGGCCCCGAGGAAGAACATGCCGAACACCACCTTCTCCTGGAGGGGGGCCATGAAGTACATGTTGGGCCGCAGCATGGTCAGGATGCCCAGGCAGAGGAACAGCACGAAACCTGCGGACGAGACACGGAGCCCGCGGCCCGTCAGCGGAGGCCGGAGCAGGGCGGCCCAGGCTCTACCCAGGACCTCGGACCCAGGAGGCAGGAGCAGGGCGAGTAAAAYGCGTCGCTCCCGCAGGGAAATGCCCCCCTCCTCTCCGAGCATCATCCCATTGCCCGGAGCGCCAGGATCCAGCTGCCTTTCYAGTGGCCGGATCCAAAAGCCGGATCCCAGCACTCCGGAGGGAGCGGAACCRGCCCCGGGAGAGTCTCCGGCCCGCTGGAAGCGCCGCGCAGCCCCCCGGCTCCGAGCCCCGCCGCGAGCACCTAGCAAGTGTGTCCAGATGTTGCCGGTCTCCGTGTGTATCCGGAAGATGCTCTTGAAGCAGGCTCGGAAGGAGGGCATGGGGGGCCGGTGTCCGTGCAGGAGGTAATCGTTGTCYTTCAGCCAGTCGGGCAGCACGTCGTAGGGGATGACGCGCCAGCGCCCTTCCCACACCTGCGGCACAGAGCCCCGCGCGCTCACACAGGCTCCCGCCGGGCGCTGCAGAGACCCCCGTAACTCCGCCCTGGAAGAGGGGGTTCAACTACCGCAGCCTCAGACACCCCGCGGGACCCCCGAAACCACCGCCGTCCCGCAGGGCGCTTGCTGCGATCCGCGGGCYGCGCTCCCCGCGGCGGGAGCCGGGGCCAGGGCCGCCCTGCGCCCGCTGCCATCGCCCACCCTCAGCTCCGTGGGACCGGGCAGAGGCACCCCCGCCCGGGCACTCGGGCTCCGCTCCTTGCCCGGAGCCGGGGGCAGCGCCGCGAGCTCCGGTACCTTGTACACGAACTCCTCCATCTTCTCCATGGCGTGGTGAGCCTGCAGCGGCAGCGTCAGCACCCGCACCACCTCCTCCTCCTCCTCCTCGCGGGCCGCCGGGCCCGGCGGCTCCTCGGCCTGCAGGGAGAGGCGCCGGGAGGAGGCCGGTGCGGCGGCGCGGGGCAGCGGGAGCCCGCGGGGCGCCCGGGGCCCGTCCCCAGGGACGCGCGGGGCCCGCCGGCGGGATCCGGCGGCTGCTCCCGGATCTGCTCTCCCGGGAGGCAGCGCTGCGGGGTGCAGGGGGGCCCCGCCGCTGCTCGGCCCTCCCGGTGCCCTCCCGCACGGACACGCGCCCCGGCCTCGCTTCCCCCCCCTCCCAGCTCCTGTAGCCGGTTCGGGAGGCGGTTCCCAGCGCCCCCCCCGCCCCCGCCCGGGGCCGCGGGACGGGGCCGCGTTCGGGGGCGGCCCCCGGAGC